TTATTTTATTACAAGTGTTGCTTTAAATAAAACAAACAATCCAAATGATTTCAAGCCACACAGGCTCATTATTATAGTGTGTATAGAGAGTGCTTAACACATGGAAGCTTGGAATGAGCAGCTGCCTTTCAGAGAAGATATGACAGCACAATAAATCAGACAGATACAGTCAAGCTTGTCCTACCAATCCATTGTTTGATTTTGTCTGAAAGTATACAGGGGAATAGTTTCACCACCTAACCTTAGAAATCTAGCTTCCTAAAGTAGGAAACGTCACACTGTGTGATGCATGGAGAAACATTGACTCTTCCAGAGGTGGTTCAGAACAAACACCTAGTTGAGGAACACTGAACTCCCTGGTTTCTCACCCAGATGACTAAGGGGAGCTACTCTTACCTTACCAGTCAAGTCTAAAAAATGCGGTGATTAGCACTCCCCTGAGCTCTGCGATGCTGAAAAGGATTTTAATGAAGTCACTTGAAGGATTGAGGTAACCTGGTCTGGAGGAAACTTTTCTAATGGAAAACTGCATTTATTTTTTGTATAGTCATAACAATGCAGTGCTACAGTGTGGGTTATGGCCCCATTGCCCTACGTACTATACCAACATTGCCCAAATACATTTAAATAATAATGCTGCCTGCTTCTCTTTCTGGTAGAAAAAGGGATTACAAAGCTTCTTCCTTTGTCACTCATCCCATGTTTTTACCACATACATGGAAGCCAAACACAGATGCAAAAGTACTCTTCATTTTGACAAAATTTTGTCCTTTGTCTATGCAAAATCAACAGCTTCAGGCCTTTTATAAATGATTGGTGGCTTCTGGGCGGGTATTGGAAATTAAAGTTAAGAAGAAATAAACCTTGTCATTGCCATCAGCAGAATTTAATCTGACTAGGTGGGATTTTCCGTTTATGTTGGCAAACAGAAGCATTACATATTTGGACTGTTTATTCCGGTAACCTTAGCTAGCCTGCAGAACTGCAACATTACTCTTTTGATTAGCTCCATGCAAAAAGATCTGCGAGGTGGAAAGATCTCCTACTCTTTCTATATTTGGCAGGACCAACTCAATAAAAATGTCCATTTTGCCACGCCTCTGATACCCCACTGCAGCTGCTTCCTCTCCTCATCCCACAGTGAGATACTAAAAAGTTTGCGTGGAACCTTCTCCAAGTTTATCTGGATGTACAAAAAAGCCAAGAACGCGCTTGTCAAGGTTACAAATATCTAGGGAGCTAAGATAGTTTTTAGTCTAACTGGCTCTTCAAAATATAATAGAGGCCTGCCAGCTGAAAATTATTAACTGCTGCCTGAGCAGGGATTGCGAGTGCACTCTATAAGAGGTGGAGCAGGAATTATATGTACCTATACTGCTGGAATTCTTACAATACCATAATAGAGCCATCCTACCACCAGATGTGCTTATAATGCTCTCAAAGTGCACTCTTAATATCTAGGCAATTGAGGCACTTATTTCATTTCATCCTCCTGTCTTGTAACTCAGGTTTCCTTTTTAGGGAGTGATAGGATTACTTCCTTCTCCTGATCCACATGTTGTCAGGGTTTTTCTTCATTATTATTTTTGTGAAATGGCCTTCCATGAGTCATTTTTGTTTGAACTGATCTTGTAAGTTGTTTCAAAAGTCAAATGGAGCCTTACTTTGATGACTGTAGAAAACTTTAATACCCTTATATAGCTTTTTAAATATGATCAGACATACGGTTTTTTCTATAGCTTGTTTAAATGCCAGAAAGGTAATTATGAAGTGTTGGTTGGTCAGTGCCTCTTTTAAGCTGCGGCGTATGGTTGAAATTATCACTATAGTCAAGAGGAAGATGGAGCTTTCTTAAGATAATAGGCTCTGTGATTTATCTCACATCTTGGGAAATAACTGAAAGTTGTAACTTTAGGATGACCCAACAATACTTGCCCCAGATTATTTTTTGTTCTTCTGCCCTCTGAATAATATGATGCTTGTCATTTTTTAAAAACCTAGGAAAAACAGTTATGCTAAACAATTAATTCCATCAGGGGTTAGGTCTGCTCTCAAATCTATTTTCTGAGCAGATGTGTTAGTTCACCCAATACCCACTGCTGGTTTTTGTCATTGTATTATCTGAAGCAAGTTTCAATTCTCTGTGTGCAAATTCAATGTTTCATGAGAGATCAAGAGAGCTTCCATAGGTCTACAGCCTGTGATGAGATTGAGTTTATCACTTGTGTGTTCACTTACTGCAAACAAAGGAACTACTGCCTATCAAGTACCATTTTCAGCAACGCAGCCTTTGGGGGAAAAATAGTAAAGGAAAACTGTTCCAGAAATAGTAATTTTCTAAAAATGTTACCTCACTGGAGAGTCTTTTTTTGGAATTCCATCAATATATTTTAATTCAGTGATAATAATTTTAGAGAAAGGACTGTTTTTGTTGCATCTGTTTAAGATAGGTATCAAATATGATCTCCTCTGTTGGGACAGCTAGTAAAAGAAAGTAATAACAGCAGTAAGTAAACAAATAAATGCTGTTATCCCACTCAAGAATAATCATTCATTCTGCTAATGATGGAAAGACAGGTCCTGAATATAAGTTCAGTCATATTGGAAAAAAATAAGAAATATTAGTGTCACACCAGATTAACCCTGGAGTATTTTTTTTAAGTCACTGAAGGAATGCTGATGTAAAACAAGTATGCAAGAAGAGTCAAGCCTTTTGATTTACTGCATTCAACTTCTGAAGACTGCCATATACCATGGAAACCCACAGCCAGTTCCATGCCTATTTACACCATTTTTCCATCAAAGCAATACTTTTGATTTTAAAAAGAGACATTTCTAATTGACAACATTGGAAATGACATCATTACTTGGCTTAGTAAGATTCAGAAACTGAAAAATATGTCCAGAATTTCCTCTCAATTTTCTTTTTGTTTTCAATTAACAATACAGTTTTTATGCTACCATTTTTTTTTTCTCAGACCATTTTATTGTGGCAAGATACAGAATTGGACTCTATCAAGCTAAAAATCTTAATGCTTTCCTTTTTTAAGCAAGGGTGGCTTTAAGCAGGAAGGCAGGAAGGCAGGCAGGAAGGAAGGAAGGAAGGAAGGGAGGGAGTTATCTCTAGCAGCTCAGTTGTCGCTCTGTGATAATCTGGGGAAGCAGAGAAGAATTAGATTACATAATTAGATAGACTAATTATAATTCTATAGAAATTATCACAATTATCAGCAGAATGCTTAGAACCCATATTATGTGACAGCTAGAAAACAGCAAGTGCTCCCATGACTTAAATGAATTCTCTGCACTTGTGTAGCACAGGCTGCCTTTTCTCCTCCAGAGACAATATTCAATATTTGTCTGTCCCTTTTCAGTATGTTAAATACTTTTAGTTTAACTATTTCCTTTAGGATAGTGAACTGTCTCTTCATTTAGTTGTACTACCCAACCTGATCTTTGAAGAAAAAAGAATTTATCAGGGAGAATAGTTAAATTCCAGGCCAAATTCACCATTATTAAATATGGGGATATGTTTTCTGAATTCAGCTGACTGATTCCCATCAAATTGGCGAGCAGATATTTTTTAAAATTTATTTATCATTGCTCAGTTCCACACCGACTCTACCTTTGTCACTGAGACAAGAATTCATTCCTCCTCCCCTTAGCTGTCAAAATCAGGTGTGGAAGTTAATCTAATTGTCTCAGCTTACCTTAGTCAGTGGAAATGAAAAAGGCAAAATTTTATCAATTCATTGATACAAAATGGTGTGCTTTACAAATATAACAAACGTATTTAAGTAACTGAAAATGACCCCAGTGGAACCTGGCAACGTGTTCAAGTCAAACAAGAGAAATTACTGGCTGCTTCTTGACAAGCTGGAAGGGACAGCCATTCTCTAGAAGACTTCAAACTAAAAAATTGTTTCATTTGCTTGTGTGAGTAACTGTGTGTTCATATGTATAGAAAAGGCTGGATTTTCACTGAGATGTCTACTTATAGCAGGTGTTAATGAAACTCAAGAAAATTGCAAAAATTCTCATATCTAGAGTTCACAAATCATGACGCTATTTTGATACCTTCCCTTGAATATGGCATCATCTTACTGATTGTATATCTAAAGCAATCCCTCAATCTAATATTGATTCCTGAAGAAAGGATGACTGGCTATCAGTGGGAAAAGCTTTCAATTTTAATGATAAAACTGTAGGTAATATTTCATCAGATCTGGTGTACTTGCGTCCAGTATTCTAAATGTCTTTACTAAAACACTTTTTTTAAATGTGTATGTTGATGTAATTATTATTGGAAATGTGACTTGACTACCTTAGTGTGTTGGGATGAGATCCTGAAACACTTCAGTACATGCTTAACATGAATATTTCCATTAGAAATCAATGTGGCAACATGCATGATGAAACTTGAGCACATGCAGAAGTGTTTCCCGGACCAAGGTTTGGTGAGCAGGAAACCTATAACAGTGATAAGAAATTCCATCGTCCCCTCCGCTTTCACAGTGCAGGGTAAGATAAAGTGGTTAAAAATGCCTGTATTCCAGTTTTGCTGGTGTTCCCATTCTTGCTGCCATCTGGAAACAGGATGTTCAGAAACTCTGGACAAATGGCAACTGCATATATTTAATAGACTAAAACAAGATGCTCATATTTGTTGCATGCATGCAAATCAACTGCTTGGGCATGCAGTTTTTGGGACCTACCGCTTCTTCAGCCACATCAGTGTGGACAGATTAGAAAAGATGTGCACCAGTTTAACAGATATATTACTCATGCTTTTATCTTCCATCTCTGCCTACTAGATGAAACTAATCTGTAGCTGGTACATAGAAAAATATAAATTACTTGCATATCATTTTGCTATAAACATTCAACCTGATATATCAACATATCTGTTAATAACATAAACAAGAGCTCTGCTGTGAGGAGCTACTAACCACTGGTAAATATTGGGCAAACATTTAAAGTCCATTATTTTCCATCGGTACCTGTCTTTCAGTGAGGTCAAGGTTTACTGCTATCTCATATCGCCTCAGCCTGGTCAAATAGTTATGATGAGCAAATTCTGCTTCTAGCTCTCTGATTTGCTCCTTGGTGAAAGCTGTCCTTTCCTTCCTGGGTTTACTGTTGACCTCTGACTTGTAGTTTCCTTCTTGGGAATCTGAAAAAAGAGATGAAAAAATGGAAGTAATGACAAGTGTACAGCTAAATAGGAAACAAACCCAAAGATAACAATGTGCTTAAGTTACATTCTTCAAACTTTCTTCTCTCAGAAACACACCCTTGCTTTCATACCTATGGATTCTTCACTGTCAATCAGGAAAGCAGCAGTAATTCTGACAGTCGTGAGCTGCTGCTTCCATTCATGCACGTCAAACTTCAGCTTAAAACCTTGCAGTGTTTCATTTCCTAACAGTTCTCTGCAGAATTTCTGCAAAGCTTCAACTCCCTCCCAATTCTGGCAACTCTCAGTGCATCCAACCAATACAGGATGTGTATCATTTGACTAGTGTCTTAATGAGTAATACTTCCAACAATCCCTCTCTCCTATCATTTCACTAATACTTTAAGCCAAAGCTCTATTTTAAAGAACACACTTCAAGGTTTAGTCTAGTTACACTGTCAGGGAAAGGTAACAGAAAAAGCGTAGGAAATTCAACACGCATCAAAAAGAAATCGGTGAGCATGTCCTATGTGATAATGGGATCTCCTCCTACTCATGCCAAAGTGCAGGTAGGGAGGTTATGCCACAGCTGGTATCAGTATAGGAATTTTGTTACCACTACAGCTCATTACCTAAGGAATACTCTGGCCACACTCAGAGGAGCTTTGCTGAACGTTTCATTATCACCCTCCTCATTCCTTTTACTCTCAGAAACAGGTACATTTGGTCCTCAGCCAAACTACTGAACTCAGTGACAGTCATTCTGTTGCTGTCAGTGAAGTCTGTTTAAACACGTGAAAAGAGATCAAACTGTAAAAAAAAAAAAGAAAAAAAACCACCAGAAAACAAAGAGAGAGTGGAAAGAAAAAAAAAAAAAGGACCAGACATTTATAAGTTTGGGTATGATACAACACCTATAAATCCAAAATTAGCAGGAGATCAGTAGGAGTATCATTAGTCAAATTCTGGCCTCATGAACCATCTTAAAAATGTCACAGATAAATTCACACTTCAGCTGCTGATTTAAATAGAAACCTGCATCAACATCCAAATGAACAGGCCCGCAAGAAATCACTCCCTGGGACTCTGTGTCAGATGAATCATCACATGCCTGAGACTGTCCAACTGGCCAGTGGGTCTGGTTTCAAAACTACAACCAACTATCTATGTTTTCACTTTTCGTCAGTTACTCTGTTGCTTGGAAGGGAACTTTTTTTTTTTAATGAGAACTGTTGACGTTTGACCCAGTGCTTTAGTCATTAATTTAAAATGTTTTAAAGCTAATGGATTCAAATCACCAAGCCTCTTAACTTTTGCTGACATGAAACACAGGACTTTGCTTCAGACGTGGTTGTACTGCTGGTGTGTATGGCTGAGGGTATCCACCAATGTTGTTGAGTGGGTTTGGGAGCTGTTCAACCACAACTGGAGTAGGGATTTTCTAGGATAGGACTCCATTAGATAGCACACCAATTGACTGTAGTGTGGGGCAAGGTCCATTATCCAAACTCAACATAGAAAACTTGATAGATCAAAACCATCTTAAACCTAGAAGTTCACATTTCTTCCTTCATATTAGTTGGCAAACTAGAGTCACTATAACTTCTCTCCACATTTTTCCGTTGCAGGAATACGCACGTTGCTTTTCTTCCTTGAAATTTCCTCATCTGCTGCCTCATCATAAGGTCCAAATACTATGTAGATGACCTGAACTTAAATACTTAAACCCCTATATCAGCATTCCAATGAATCACTGAAGAGAGATACCAAACTCGTTTTTCTTAGCATTTGGACTTACCATTCTTATACCACCAGAGACATGTTTCCTACATGTTTGAAAGTAAGTGGGTGTGCATACTGCTTATCTGCAGTACAACACAGAAATGTATTTCATGCAAGTCATTGCTAAAGTCCTCTTAAGTGTCTTGGTAAACCTGTGCCTGTGTGTGAGGCCATGAGCCAAGAAGTCTTCCCATGTCAGTACCTTCTGTAAGAAAGGTCCATGGCTCACTGGTTTCCAAACTAAAGGTTGCAACCTTAAATAAAAGTAATGCACCTACAGATGACACTGACACCATAGTGAAAATTCAATACTAGAAATGAAGACGTAAGCCTGGAAACGCAACAGAAAGTGAGGTCAAAGGTGTAAAACCTTGGTAGCTACTGCTATCATGAATGGTCAAAGGGAAAAACTTCAGGAGTACCCATCCAAACATCTCTCAGGAGGATACTGATCTCTGTAAGTGACTGAGACTTATAACACAAGCAATTTTTCTGCAAACAGATGGTTCCATGAGGAAAACAGAATTACTGTACAGCCAGTAAAACCATAATGAGCCAAGTCATCGTTCAGGTTAATACTCATGGTTCTGAGTTCCCAATTTACAAATGCGGTTAGCATCTCAATTCCAGGTTCCTGGGATACTGATGTAAGGAAAGGGAAATGTAACTGCATGAATAGCATTTGTCCTTCATCTTTGCCAGCACAGAGGATTCAGCACTGCTAGCAATGCTAGCCCACACAGGTCCTGGGCGAATATAAGTATGCTTGGACAGCTGGTTATTTAGACATCTCTGCCATTGCTGGATACTACCTTTAAGTCAATGCTGGAGTGTAAGTGCCTGTCAGCCACAGTTTTGTCAGCAGTATAATTTCATCAGCAGACTGACACAGTGGAAATGGTTTTTATTTATTTGTTGTGAATGTCATTGAATGTATTTGTAATAGTCAAGACACTCCAAAAAACCCCACATGATATATTCAAATATTGCTGAAAGCAAAAGTTGAAGAGGTACACAGAAACGTGAGACAGGTACAGAGAAAGCTGACTCCCTCTCAGTACTGAGGTTCATGCAACAGAACAACTGTAATCCTAAGAAATCTGTTTCAGCAAAGATCTGGCCAGCAAGACAATGGTATTTTGCTTAATGCATTTGAGATTTTAAAAATATATCTAAAAAGAGACTTAGATGGACACCAGTTAGGTGAACACCAGTTATGAACTCTTGCTGTCATCTGACTTTCTCTGCTGCAGTGTTGCTGTGGTTCATGTACAGATTGCCTTTTTTTTCCTATTGACATCATACTACTTGGATTAGTAATTTTAGAAATTTTGGTTGTTTTAATTTCCAAAGCGGTAAATCTAGGTTTTCTGATTGTTTCTTTTTAACAGTCTCTATAGAGCCAGGACTGGGAGCTCCCATCTCTTTCTGACCTTCAGGTCTCTGTTCACATCACCTGACTAGCTTCCCTTTGGTGGAAAATGGGTGGGAGACTTGGAAGAGATTTTTGGCAGAACTCATGTCAGCCTACATCTGTTTTGCAGCTGTTGCAACTAAGACAAGAAAAAAGTCCCAACCACCTTAGTTTTCTTCTACTGGCTGCATCTTATGCCAAATGGTAGGTGTAGAGGCAGAGAACAAAGCCGAGGGGGATCTAGGTTACACTCCTTGTCTCTCAAAAGGCACACATAAAATACATACAGATGGTACAAACCACTTGATGAAAAATACAGCAATCTATATTGCCTGTCTTCCGCCTTCTCCCAGACAAATTCTGGCACACTCTCAGAACATGTAGCCTACATGCAGGTATTAGTACTTTATCAGTCTCTCTTTTGCAAACCTTTGTTCTTTCGATGTCAAGTAATGCAGGCAGTTAAACACTGCTTTGAGGGATGCAGGTCATACCTCTTTCTCAGAACTGTTTTTGTCAGTTTTCAAAAACTCTAGGCATCATCTTTAACATCTCCTGATAGACAAAAATGCTTGTTGGTAACTGATGTAGAAGGTACCATTTGGAAAGACATTCAAAGCTATAAATGACTGTTCTACAGATCTTTGGAGGCTTAGATTTTTCCTAAGTTTAATAATAGCTCAAATTCTTTTACAAAAAATCATTATTAATTATTCCCCATCCTCAAAAGTTACTTCTACTTTACTCTAAGGAAAGGATTGCTATCCCAACATTTGTATTGTCCCGCCAGAGTTCCTATTTCCTTCTCTCTACATCATTGAGAGATGAAGCATACCAAGCAAACACAGGATCTAACTCCTATGTGTAGGATATGAAAAGTGGTAATTTTGGTATTTTTGCTTTTGATGCATGCCTAGGAAAAAAAGGACTGGTCACAGAATAGGGAAAAGAGACTGGTCAGAATATCCGTGATACAAAGATCTGCTGCTAACTGGGTAGGGTCAGAATCACAGGCAAAATGTGCAAGAAGCACCCACTATTTTTTCTTGGGTTAGTTCAACAGCTGACGTACCTTCATTTCTCAGACAGAAATGACCTTTCAGTTAATACCTGCAATGGAAGATCCCAGACATGAATTTTCAAAAATAAGTCATATTGGTACTGCTCTATTAGCAGTTGCAGATGGTTTTCAGATCCTGATATCCATACTGACAGTGAGTAGTGACAATAACCACTAATGATTTGTGACAAAAAGGCCATCGGAATTTCACCCCTAGAGTTGTTATTCAATGTCCAGGTTTTCAACTTTCACTCACATCTTCCAACACTTACTCTCAGAAAGCCTCTACCATGAACAACCTATTTCTAAATTTATTTCACTATAAATTTATAGCAAAGTTGGCTAAATTAAATTTTCTTAATTGCATACCTTCCTGTAAATGGTGCTCAAGTGTTTGCAGAGAACAACTACTACATCATTATTTACTTTAAAATGAAGCAATCTATACAAAGTAATCAATGCAAAAAGCTTGTTACTTCTGAGTAGTTTAATGCTGTGTGAAAGAGCATTTCTTTCAAACTTAACTCCTCTACATTTTTTTAAATCACTAACGTAAACAAAAGCTTTAGAGCTTCTAAACATCAATAGGACACAACAATGATGTGATTCAATGCAAAATGCTTTTCTTTTTTTTTTTTTCCCTTCAAGACATTGGCAATATGAACTTAGGGAAAAGTACTTTAGTATTAGAGCAATAATCTAGCAAAATAAAATTAATCTGAAATACACATACGAAGAAAATAAGCAACTTTGTACTATTACAGTTGCAAAGGGGTATTAGGGAGAGGACAACTATATTTTTTAATGGTCAGAAGTACATACTGGTATACAGGTGAATTGCCTAATCTAATTGTTTCCAAGGCTTTATAGTTAATTATATTTTCTGACAAAATGAAATAGTTCACTAAGACACAAGCAAGGAGCTGGCATAAAAGTCTCCAATATGGTTCCTATTGTTTCACCAGCAGCTACGTTGTGAGAACAAGATTTACCCAGAAATAGTAACTTTCAAACATTTTTGACATATAATAGAGAAAACTATGCAGTTTTTCCATGACTTTTTTTTTCTATTTTCATTTCAAAGTTGCTCAGAATTCATATGTAAACTTACCCTGTGTCCAAAACATTGCCCATTGCTTTGCAGGATCCTAATTTAAATCCTTACTCCCTACTTCTGAGTATAATCTTTGTACCAAAAAAATTATTTAATTCCTGGGCTATACAAAACTACATAGTTATGCTTACTTTGATGCACCTACTCTTATTTGCACCAGTTGTGACTATGCAACCAAATGCTGCAGACTTAATTAATGTAATTTTGGTTCATAATTTTTCTTCTCTTTAAAGTCATTTAAATAATATTCTTAGAAGTTTTTTCTCAGTTAAAAGTACAGTTCCAAACCACTGAACATATTCAATCTGAGTGCCTCTTTTGAGAATGTCATTAAAAGTATTTCTGGAGCTGCAATTCACTAAATGTATTTAGAGAATCCTTTCTGAAAATTGGAACAAACAGCATTGTCATTTCCATAATTCACAACTCTGCATGTGCAAATGGCCAAGCTGCACAGTAGCACAAGTACGACGTCAAAATTAGATGAATCCTTCTTTTCATTCTAATGAAAGCAAACTTTTGTTTGCTTATTGAATTAATGCTTTCTAACCCAGTCTGTGACAATTTACAATTTAAAAGAGCCTCATATCCACTCCCAAAAAAAACATGGACTGGCACAGCAAAACCTGTGGGTATTCTGAAACACACTATATACTGTCCTAAACCATTACCTACTAGTTGTTGCTGCCAACTTTTTTTGTTATTACTGCCTCCTGAAAGTACAAGTCTAGGAATTATACTGCGGTATCGGAAACACTGATTCATAACACTGTGATAGCTAATGGTGCAGGCTCTTGAAGATACCTATGCTGGAAAAGTGCTTCTGCCAGGTCATCTGATCGATCTAACTATATAGCATGTACATGTCACTTCTTCAAACCGTGCAAATATGGAAGACAACATATGAATTCTCTCGTATGAATAATTACACTAGTTAGTAGATCTTCATGTGGAAGATCTACTCTCAATCTCAAAAGTTTGTATAATTCCAGCTTATGTTAGGAAAGGAGACACAGGATTTCCCTTAAAGAAACTTTACAGGCTGCATTTTAATAGGACTTTATCCAGTGGGACTTCCAATTCCCATTTGGAGTTCTGGAAATATATCTCTTACATGCAGCATCGAATAACATACACGTGGAGATTGTTTGACTATTTACTGAACCATTTTTACAATTTGCTTTCATGTAGAAGAGCTTCATTAAATGAAGGTGAGAGCTGCCAGCACCACCTCCCCACAGATTAACAGTGAGTCCTCCTGAGTAAGAGTTAACCTACAAAATTAAACCAAGAAATTTTCTATGCAGAAGCCTCTTAGAACAAAGACATCCAAGTGGAGAAAACGGTAGTTGAGATAGGAATTTATATAATCTTCCTTCCCTTGGGTCTCACCTCCTAGACATCTCCCACCAGAGGCTCTTTCCTACCCAAAGGAAGCAGAATAAAAGTGAAGAGCGACCAAACCCACCCCAAACACTGTGCATGCCTCAGTCATCTTCATTGGGCTGATGAAAGCCCTTCCCTGGACAGCAGCTGTATCAGAACTCCAAGGAGGCATTAAAATACTCCTTTTGGCCCTACTTCATTGTATAAAAATACGTAGGAAAATAGATGTTTTCTGCAAAGATGGTACATGAAAGATCTAAAGCACTACAAACTGTAGGGAAGTGACTGCTTAAGAAGAGAAAATAGCATATGACACGCAGAACTTAGTTAGATAATCACCTCTCAACAAGTCTTATCTCCCTAAAATGATGGGTTGTAGTTTTCATTTTAGCTTTGTGAAGCAGGGAGACCCTTGTCCTGCCAAAAATACTAGAGCAGCCAACATAGGCAGTGTTCTGGGACTCAGGTTTAACAAAAGGCCATATTTAATTCCTGTCTGAAAAAAACTCCCAAACCTAAAATACTTTAATGATAAAGAATGCACTCTGGATGATTTAATCCTTTTGGCCAGTGAGCTTTTTAAAGAGATGCTTTCTCACAAGTATATCTAGATCTGCCTCTTTGTCATAGTTAAAATACAGTTGAGGTTGCTCCACTTTATATGACATAAAACACTAAATATTTAGCTTAAGATATTGCCAGCAAAAACAGAGATGAGGCTAAGGAATGGAAAAATAGGTTGCAGTGACTTGCTGCTAAGAAATATATAGAGAAATTATACCAGTATGTATCCTGCATGTGCTATCTAGAATTTAAATATTGTGAAAATAGTTATATTTTTTTTTTCTCTGTAAAGCCAGACTGCCACTGTTAATATTAAGAATCCAAGGTACAGTGGGGATGGGAACATATGCCAAGCAATGAGTTTTACAATCCTTGTTTCTACATTAACTTCTTTATATAAATGGCCATTAATTTTACATGTTTTCAAATTTACATTCAAAGTCCCTTGCATTTAAAGCAGCAGTACATTCCACCGCAAGACTAGCGATGTCTGCTTCCCCAATAACAATCAGCTTTTGCTAATAATTCTGTTGCTTAGAAAGTTCAGACCTTGTGGATATTATTCTTCGAATCTGTGAGTAAAACACTTTTAAGGAGGTGTTACAAACTTGGTTACTCCATGTAAAGATCTCAATTATTTAGTTTTCAGATATCATTACAATAAATCTTCATTGTGAATTTCCAAATATCCTTCTAATAACCAATCGTTGTGTTATATGCTATTTTGCATATAACACAATGTTGTATGTTGTTACCCATATGCAAATAGACTTCAGTTTTTTTACACAGTCACTATAGTCACGTTATCCAAAGGTTGCTGAAATCAAAGTGCAATTTCCAGACTTCACCAAGTGTATAGCCTTATGCTCTTTCTTCCTTAGCTGACGTGCTGTATATAGACAGTGACATTGCCCCCACTCCTCACACACAAGACATTACATTAAGAAAAAGTAAAAGCCAGAATCGATAGTAATTCTTGTAGATCTTGTAACAGCCCACATCATTGTGCCACAATATGTACTTCACTAGAGCAAATGGCCTAGAAAAGAGTGTGCCATTTGGGCCAATTTCTAAGGATAGGCCAAGTTCTTCCCCAGATTACAGTGGGCAAGCTGGGGCAAGCTCAAGAATTTCAGTGGAATCGCTTCTCAGTCACAAGGGTCTCAGAGCCGATTTTAATCCCATTGTAAGTCTTAGCTTACTTTGTGTATGATCATGAGAAGTCTTGAGTTGATTAAAGAAAAGTATTTTCTTAGGCTCCTACGTATATATTTTCTCAAAATATACATGCAGAACTTACGGTCAAAATCTTGCTGACTTCTAAGTTTGCTTTTTTAAAAAATTTTATTGCAATTGCTTGAGCTCCTGTCCGAACAAAAAAATAGTTCGCACATAAGCCAAAGAATCCAGACTTTTAGTTTTCCATACTTAGCAATAAAAGTTGAAACACTCACAGAAGTTTAATACAGTTTCTTTAGGGCTCCATATTGCTTTACTCACCCATCTTTCCAAAGCAGGTCTTCAGGATACAGTTACACAAAGGAAAATATAAATGAGTACCAACAATTCTGCTTTAACTCTTTCTAAGAATTATTTTGCTGCTACAGGAAACAGGAAGCCATTTCATAGTGGTATTTTTCAGTGTAGTTCTTCCACGTGTGTTACACTCGCTAATTTTTTTTTCCATTCATCATGGAACAGATTTCTTTGGAAATTCTTAATGATGTAGTGAAAATTTTATATATGTTGAACATGTGACAGAAAAAAAACAGTGTCTGGAGCAAATCTAACATCCAATATTTCTGCTTAATCCTCTGTTAGTGTGTCTTTTCTCCCTTCTTTTTTTTTTCAATCAGTCTGCCTCAAATGTTTTTACTTTTTCTAAAACCTGTCCATTTGACACACTCATAACTGGCCTCTGCAGTGTATGTAGCACCTTGCAGAACTGCAGGATCACAAATCACCTTTCATTTCACAGTCTTGATGAGTGTCGCGGTCCTCACAAGCAATTTCACGTGGTCGTTCCCTGCCTTGGTGGCTGCCCCTGTTAGACATGGCTCAGCTAGTGTGGCATTACAGCTTTCAACATGAGGCACAAGTTTAATCCCTGTCTGGGTCTTTAAGAAATATCATAGATTTCTGTGCAGATTCATATGCCTGCATATGTTTTAGTGACATGTTTTGTAAATCTTATTATCCCTCAGAAAGCATTAAAATGAAGCCAACAGGCCCAGCTGTGCTCATAACATACCTTAGTAGATATCCAGATTTTTTTTAAGAACAGAAAACACACACACACACGCACACACTCTCCTACCAAACAGGGTTGCTGTTCTGGGTGTATTCTACTATTTCATTCACAGTTTACTTTACAACATTGTGCTGAAGTATAACACTAACTATAAAAAAGGAAAAACAGTGGAAAGTACTTTCCCACACGCAATTAAATGGAATTACCTGTCTTTCAGGGGAAACCAAAATAAAAAGGGTTATAAAATAAAATTTTTCAGATGTTTGAACTATTTATACCATTGGTTTTCAGACCAACCGCGAAAGGTTCATTTTTCACTTAAAACTATTACTATCTGTTAATACTAGATAGAAAACCTCCTGATGACTACTTTAGAAGTCCTGACTATCAGCTGTTTTTGACTTCAAGTTCTCCTACTTAGCGGCATGCCACATTTTCCTTTCTTTGTGTTTTCTCAAATGATTATCGTAAATGCAGAATCCATTAAAAACACCCAAAGGATTTGTCATGTTTGAAGCTAACACAATTTCCTTTTTCAAACTATAGTACAATTGTTAAGGAATGGAAAAATGCTCACATAATTAAACAGAAAACCCAAAGTAGTTCTCTAAATAGTATATTGGGTAAAGGAAATAAATCTGTAAAACAAATAAAATCTAACAGTGCAGGTTTAAGTTTTCTGCTAAATCTATTTTACTATTAATTTTACAGTCTAGGAGAGCTTTTTGATGAATAATTTTTCTTGATTGCTAACAATCAAACTTGTTGTATGGTTAAAGTTTGTGACTCATAATGGAAAGCTTTGGCAGGGTGCAATAAAAAAAAAACCCTTCAACTTTGATGTGAGCAAAAAGCTGCAACATAATTGTTTGGAGTACTTCCTATTAGTTTAAGATTAGAGTGCAAGAAAATATTTACTATATATCTAAGAGGGGAGGTCACTTCAACTACAGGTTCAAGTATAGCTTCTGAGAAAGTAAACTTATATGCCATACTTGTACTGTCCCCTTTTGTATGTCTGTGATAGACTATAGTTAAAGTAACTAAGAGGTCTAAGCCTGCTTTAATCATCTAAAATGGACTGCTACTTCCAAAGTAGTCGATATTCCTTACATAGTCTTAATTTTTAATTTGGAAAGAGAAAGTACAGTAATAAGGGCCTGATTTTGCAAACGTGTACATAAAGTTCAGGTCTCAAGTGAGCACTTTGAGAACAGATATTTTTAGGAAAAAGGAAAAAAGAAAAGAATCCGCCAAAACCCAAGAGCATCCAATAATTAAACCACAAGTCCATAGTCAAATCAAAAGGTCATTTTGTCCCCAGCTTCATTTCCAACTCCTTTTCAGTAATGGAAAGTCTTTCTGTGGTCACTATACTAATACTATACTAATACAAAAGAGAGGCCATTTGGCACACAAATGTTAAATAATATGGCCTGGCTGTTCCATCATTCACCTCACACAACTTGCTGAGTATAAGCTGGAGAAGAAAGGCCTTCCTGGTAAAGTAATGTGCTAGTGAAATAGTCTGACAATGCATGTCAAAGCATAGTAAATCCTATATATGTTTTACAAGTATTTGTTTTACTCTTTTAAACAAAGCTCATTTTAAATACCTACCTCTACTGGGATAAGAAAATTAAGAAACATTCATTACAATTGAAGATACAAGTTGGGTAGGTATAACTTTTTCCTCCATCCTAAAAGTTGTAACACCAAAAACAAATACAAAGGTTATTTAATTCTTCTGTAAAACAACCCACATCAGTCCCCACATTCTCTACTATGATCGGTTGTCACCTCCAGTAATGGTTGGCAGGCTGGAGGTAAATCATCCCCCCTTTTGACTCTGAAAGTGTTGAACTCCATCTTTCTAAGAAATGAAAATTGCTGTTTTATTTCTTTGCTCTTTCTCCCGTCCATATAATCTAGGGTTGATGCAATACTTGAGATTATCAGATCACAGAAATAGGGGAAAAAAGCGCAATAAAATTATTAGCACACCTACTGGAGGATGTAGGAGTGTACTCTAAAAAGCAGAGACTTGAAGCAACAATAAAATCCAGTATATATACCAGTAACCAGCAATTCCAGGGCTGGACTTTGTGCAACGACAATGAACGCTGCATTTGCCAGTGCTAATGGGGTGAGGAGGGGGAGGTAGAAAAATCCCCCTCTGAACCTCAAAAAATACCTCCTGAACTCTGGTCTGGCAGCTCTGAAAAAGAGTATGTAGCAGCTCCAAAAGGGCACAAATTCAAGAGGTATATTAAGAAGTGGAATAAAGGTCTGCAGCTTTCCAGCAAAATGAGTTACAGCAGTTAGACACGAGCTCGGGGGCGTTACTCTTTTCAGTAGAAAACTTTATTCCATCTAATTTTAAACTACGCAGTCACAGAGTTTCTGCCCAACTAAATAAGATGATTGGACATTACACTATTTTTATCCAGGGTATCTTATTTTAAAATTGCACAGCTTTGAAAAACCTTAATGCCAAGAAAGGAGCTTTTCCAATCTTTTTTACCTATTGATAACCACCCTGAATATGGGCCTCTTGTATCCCTGCTCAGGATCTTGAGGCAAAAGGGATGCCTGCGAATGAGGAACCGTTCGCTTAGCACAACCATCCCTGTGATATACTAGCTGATAGTTTCTATTGATATAAAACAAAAACTGAAGCATCCGCTCTCCATTGTCTGGGGTGAGACAAAGTGTCATGAGGCAGATGTAAAGGTAAGAATTGAACAACCTCATTCCCTCTCTTACCCGCTTTTCTGCTGAGAGCTCCTTAGCAACACAGCACTTTTAGGATTCATCTGCTTGCTGTCTGGTTATTTAAAAAGTCCAACTAGCATGACTTGCATCTCCCTTCCTTTCTGCGGTCCCTAGTGACTCCAGTCAGTATAGCAAATATCACTAAAGCTTGGATTTATTGTAGATGCTGGACTGAGCATGCTCCGGTACAGCACAGCCCTATGAAAATGGTACTTGTTGAATAACTGCACCGGGTTGTTTTACACTGTTGCAATGTTTTCCAGGGGATTTATAGGCCTCTGGGGCACTGAAAACATGGAGCAATAGCTTCTTCCACAGATGTAAACATGAGTTTGAGTAAATAGTTAATTTATGCTGGTGTTAGAGCATTTCATGGATGTTCCTAGTCATAAACAAGCTTTCTCCATCTTTCAAAACAAAAACAAAAACTGGATATTGACATTCTCTATTATCCAAAACCCCAGCTTGCTTATTAAGCACAATTGGACCCAGTTCATTTCATAGAATCATAGAATCAAGGAATCATTAAGGTTGGAAAAGACCTCTACGATCATCGAGTCCAACCGTCGACCCAACACCACCATGCTCACGAAGCCATGTCCCTAAGCACCTCATCTACATGTCTTTTAAATACCTCCAGGGATGGGCACTCAACCACTTCCCTGGGCAGCCTGGTCCAATGTTTAACCACTCTTTCAGTAAAGAAATTTTTCCTCACGTCCAATCTAAACCTCCTCTGGCGCAACTTGAGGCCATTTCCTCTCGTCCTACCGCTAGTTACTTGGGAGAAGAGACCGACACGCACCTCGCTACAACCTCCTTTCAGGTAGTTGTAGAGAGCGATAAGGGCTCCCCTCAGCCTCCTTTCCTCCAGGCTAAACAACCCCAGTTCCCTCAGCTGCTCCTCATAAGACTTGTTCTCCAGACCCCTCACCAGCTTCATTGCTCTTCTTTGGACACACTCCAGCACCTCAATGTCCTTCATGTAGTGCTGGGCCCAAAACTGAACACAGGATTCGAGGTGCGGCCTCACCAGTGCTGAGTACAGGGGGACAATCACTTCCCTACTCCTGCTGGCCACACTATTTCTGATACAGGCCAGGATGCCATTGGCCTTCTTGGCCACCGGGGCACACTGCTGGCTCATATTCAGCCGGCTGTTGACCAACACCCCCAGGTTCTTTTCCGACAGGCAGCTTTCCAGCCACTCTTCCCCAAGCCTGTAGCGTTGCATGGGGTTGTTGTGACCCAAGTGCAAGACCTGGCACTTGGCCTTGTTGAACCTCATACAGTTGGCCTGGGCCCATCGATCCAGCCTGTCCAGGTCCCTCTGCAGAGCCTTCCTACCCTCAAGCAGATCAACGCTCCCGCCCAACTTGGTGTCGTCTGCAAACTTACTGAGGGAGCACTCGATCCCCTCATCCAGATCATTGATAAAGATATTGAACAGGACCGGCCCCAAAACTGAGCCCTGGGGAACACCACTTGTGACTGGCCGCCAACTGGATTGAACTTGTCTCAGATTTCACAAATCTGAGACAAAATTCAAAAGGAAAGGAGGTTAAAATGTTGGTCTGTTAGGGTTATGACTATGCTGAACTCATGTAAAAGATAAAAGAGCATAACATGCTGATATATCTGATGTTTTTATGTAAGACTGCCTTGTTTCCATTAAACAGTGAAAAGACAGCTACTGTTCAACTGAAGAAACTGATGGAAAATCCTTATTACTATATAAACAGTGGTTTAGACATAAAAAGTGTTTAGTTTATGCATCTGTGCATTTAGCTGAACACTAAGCTTTTTCTAAACACAAATTGGTGCCTTCCTACTCCCATCTATTTTCACTTTCTTTTTGAAAGCAGGAAATCTGTGTCTTCTCATGCCTCAAAATGTAAAACAAAAAGAAATTAATGATTTTTGTATCATGTGTTTTACCTAACCCCCTAAAGAATTGCAGCACATTGCTCCTAGAGTTGTAGTTTCCCTTTAAAGTCTGTCTTGTCTTTTTTTTTTTTTACCTTATTTC